TCTTATTATAAAACTGGAAAAAATATCTTGCTTTACTAGGTTGGTATGTTTTTACGCTGTGTTTGCAGTAGCATAGTGTCAGTTACTTTGCCAAGGGAGAAGGGAGCCTCTTTTTTCCCAGGTGTGTATTTTGAAAAAAGAAGGAATTACAACTGTGGCCTATGAAAGGATTTTCGAATGTGCAGCAAAATTTCTATTCACAGTTGCCAAAGGGCTAACCAGGTTCCCTTGACTAAAGTAAGACTTCACACAAATACAGAAGGTCAAAAATGGGTCTGTCATCATGGATGTAACTGGGCAGTCATTTTCATGGCATGTTGCAGGCAGGACCATGAGCCAGTCGGGTAAGAGTTCAGGCCAGAAGTCCGAGTTGTTCTCTGCGTCTCTAGCGTCAGCATTCTGGAACCACATACCTTCTTTCTAGAGACAGTCAACCAGGCAACGAAGACAAACTGTATCTTGATTTTTTCCTCTCTTTCCTCTCTCACTTGTACAACTGACCTACTTAAGGGGAGGTTGTGGTACAAACCGAAGGAAGAAGATTCAAGATTCTCATCTGTCAGGTGAGACAAGCTTTTTGCCTGTTGCATCCATCTCAGACCTTTAGTTATCCTCTTTTATCCCCACCTAATTTAGTTTCTTTAACTTCTAGTCTCTCTGCCTTATCCCAGTTTGTTGCGTCTTACAAAAACCAGATTTTGTATCAGCAGGGTTTAAGTGAGAACGTTTGTCATGGCATTAAAACACCCATGTTTTAAATCAGCACTAGTGATCACTGCTCAAAGTGGGCAGCATAATTTTCCATGTTGTTGCGACCAGCCTTTTGAGCAGATAAAAGTTGTAACTGCCTGTGGGGAGTGAGTGTCATGAGAGCAGGGCCGTGGCACTGTGTGCATTTGTCATGTACATGGAATACTGAGAGAGGTCAGACAACAGGCCAGTCGCGTGGCTCACTTTGCTGACAGTGTTCCTGTCTGTCTGTTTGGTGGTGGATAGATTAGATCTGGGTGCTCACCCCAGCAGATTAAGAACATGTAAGGAATGAAGTCGATAGCCTACACAGTACGAGGATACGAGGCTGTTTACAAAAAGAAGGTGAAAATCCCACCATTTTCAGATGGAGAAGAACTTGATAAATGTATCAAGCAGGCTGAGTTTTGGAAGTTGTGGAGAATCTTGCTTTTTCTAGCCTTGTCTATCCAGTCAACAGAAGCAGAAAGGTGAGAGGAGCACGGAGAGGGGATGCATTTGTTCCCCCGTGCTGCCACGGTGCGTCTATCAGCAGGATGTGTGGGTGCAACTCTTCTGTGGGAGGACACCATCAGTCAGTGCATCGCTGGCCAGTGCAGCACGCACTCCGGGCAGGAGTGGCTACAGCCGTGCTGGCCGCGTTTGCTACTGCTTACACCGTGCCTGCGTACCCCTCGTGAATTGTTTCCCGACTACGTATCTATAACCCTCAGTTACGGAGCTTCTGCTGTGTGGTTGGGACGTTTGAAAGTTGCGTGGACACTCTTGGATCATAATAGGGAGCTCTGGAGGTTTGAATGCCAGGTGGACAAAAAGGACTCTCTGTTGCTTTCTTCTCTGACAGAAGCACTGGGGTTCAGCATACAGATCAATCAAGGCTGCCAGTTGCACCATGCAGAAATGCTTTTTGTTAGCAAGTAGCAGCTAGCTCAAAAATATCAGTGTCATCTTGGTATTTCTTTGCCTTTTAATAACCATGACTCAGGGATATAATCTAGCATCTTTACATTTTGTATCTTTACAGTATCACCTTCCAGATAGTAAGAGAGTCATCTTCCTGGAAATTTTTTTCACTGTTACAAATAATCCAAAGTTTAAATAAATACTTGGGCTTTTGGTGGGCTTGGTGTGGGGTCTTTTTCACTTTCTTTTCCTCTCTTTTTTTTAACTACAAAGTTCCAGGAAAGGAATTATTAAACCCAGACTTCGTGTTTAATGAAGGCTTGGAGAGGCAGAAGGCAAAGGCTGCTGTGGCCGAGGTTGAGGACAGAGAACAGACTCCTTATAATCTAGACCACTCCCAAGAGCTGCTTGTAATAATTATGTTCTGTGGTTGATTTACTCGTAACTGTAGCAGTTGCAGCAGGAACAAAAAATTAGGCCAAATTCTGACCTCAGAGTATAAATCTAGAGTAATTTCACTCTGACTTTTTACATTTTGATGGCATCACTTTGAGTTCATTCTACTGTAACTGAGATCAGAATCTGTAGTGTGGTCAGCTTCGGGCTGACCAGATTTTAAGCCTCCTCTGCACTGCCTGGCTGGCAGCAGCTCTTCAAGGCTGAGGAGCTCAGCTCGCTGATGCTTACCAGTTGCTTTCAGTGGTACCAGGAGGCACTTCTTAACTGTTGGGACACTGGTTTTGCAGGAACTAGAGGGAAGTCAGAGAGATTCTGGCATACCCAGGTGATAAATCTGTGATAGTAGGTTATTTAAGAGGGAATGAAAGTTTATATGAATGAATGGTTTATTTAAGAGTGAATGAAAGAGATATAGCAAAAAGGGAGAAGTTCCACAACAGCAAATGAAACTAGACAGCCTGTCTGAAAACACACATGAGAAGCAGTGGGAACACTGCAAGATTATTGTGCACTCTAGGCTGTTCTGCAACAGCTATTTTTTTTCTTGTGTGTTATTTACATGTCGCCAAGCTGACTGCCTAATATCTAAAAAGCTGTCAAAAAAAAAACAAAACCAGAAACAGTGCTCTGCAGCCTTTGCCCTTACTGCTTGTAACTGTTAAGTGGTAACATGGGCTGCAGAGAAGTTAAAGGATTTGTCAGCTTGGTTTATTCAGTTTGGTTTAGGCAGTTAATACAGAAGTATGAGTTTTTTCATTACAAAAACATTCTTCAGGAACAATTGTATGTCAGCTTGTGGAAGGTGAAACTAATTATTCTCTATTTTGAGACATGCCTGTTCTGGATCAGAAAATTTAGTGCCTTCAAGAATTCAGTTCAGTGAACCAGCTCGTAGTAACAAATGCCAGCTACTCCCCTTCCTCCTTTCTTAAGACTTAGCATTTTCTTGGGTGTATTTTTAAAATTCTGGTTTGGCTAGCTTTTACAAAAATGTAAAGCAGGCTGCTGCTGTAATCATTCCTGAATTTAGCCATGCTTTGGTGGCTCAAACCTGGTTTCTGTTACATTTTTTGATAGGCTGTATTTATTTTGCCCTTAAAAATAAAAACAGTTGTTTATTATAATACAGGTGTTTGGCTCATTGTGTGGAGTTTCAATTCAAATATTGCCAAGACATCTGTACATGTTATCATTTCCATAATGGCACAGTGATGTCTCAGTTCATGGCTTGAGCATTTAGACTTCCTCCTCCTCTGTGACCTTCAGTATTAGCTTTAGCACTGAGAAGAATGGATTCAACAACTAAAAGCAAACATTTCTTAAGGAGATCAAGTCGTTCTTTGCTAGGTGTGGCTATTTCTCTGGTCTCCAGTTTGTACGTTAGGAGTTGAGAAGGGCTGCCCTGCATTTCTAAAGCAACTTGAAATTGTACCAAAAGGATTTCCCTCTGATGAACCCAGTAGAGCCCCCCGAGAAAGACCCCAAGACACTTTGTCACATGATCTGCACCTCAGCAGTGGCAAATAGAGAGGCAGTTCAGGAACACACTGAGGCGGACACCGGTGCCCACTCGTGTTCTTCCCCGCTTGCACGCTCACACACAGAGGTGCTCACATCTGCAGTGGATGCACCCCGGTACCTCCCTGGCCAGGGAGTGCAGAACAAGGCACATCTTCCTCTTGGTAGGACCTAGGCTGGTTATGGCCCAGTTTGTAATTTATGCAATCCATAATTAAAAATAAAACTATTTTCAGTATGGAGAAACACTGTGTGTCCTCACGTCCCTCTCAGGGAAAATGAGCAATTTGACCATAAACAATATTTAACAGGAAGCTATAAGTTGAAAACTGGAAAGCTTGTGACAGTGTTAATTCAGTATGTCCGTCTTCTTTCTGAAAATAAACTTATTTCTTATTGTGACCATGAGCTGGGCTTTTAGGGAGTATGGGACTGGTTAGCTGTGGGATTTTAGTTTTGATTTGTTGGTTTTTTTTTAAAGAAGCAATAACTGCAGTTATGTAGTTTAAATGTGACTGAAACATGAACTTTATAACTGAAAAATGAGAATGTCCAGCAGAGCAAAGTAGCAGTATAGTTTCCAGCCTGACACTAAGGTCATCATGTCTGAGACACAGTCACAGAAGGAGACGAACCACTCAGTTTTTGGGACAGCTCAGTGGCACACAAGGCCATGCAAGATCCGTCTTCAATGACGGGCAGTTTTGAAGGAGTTGTTTCTGCCACATTGTAGATGCCTGGCTGTTTACATCTGCAAATGTTGCTTTTGTTCCTGCCTTGGAGCCAGCGGTGTAACTCCTGAGGTGTTCTGGAGGAACTGTCCCTGTGTCTCTTCAAGAGTTTTTCTATTAAAAGAGCATTTGTATTGGTACATGTAACTGGGAGGAAAGAGAATGCAAAAGGGTCTGTCCTTCTGTTGGTTATTTCAAATTCATTATGAAGTTTGATGCTGTGCAATGCCACTGCTGAATGAGCCAGAGAGTGCCTGCCACTTCCAGGACACGTTCTGTGTGTGTCAGTGCGGGGAGCAGCCGTCTCAGGATACGAAGTTATTGCTGTTGGTAGGACAGCGTTCACTGCAGTGGAAATCACATTTCTGAATGTTAAAATACTAGATGTTCCTCCATTAAATTGCTCAGGGAAAAAGGACCAGTACCTGTTGGTCTTAATCCATTACAGTTGCTGAAGTATTTGTTTATCTTTGGTGCTAGCAGGCAGATGAATGTGTGCATTAAGTGATCTTCTGAGTTGGAAGGAGGCCTGGAAAATCATAACCCGGTGTGCGGTCACACACTCATGCTTTGCTCCAAAGCTGTTGTCTTGGGAGGGTGACAGGGTCGTTCTAACAACTCTGCCTGCTCTATTCACAGGTGTTCCCTTTCCAAAGAACTTCCTTCAGGTCTGCAAGAAGATACTCTGCCGGCTCTTCAGGGTGTTTGTTCACGTCTACATCCATCACTTTGATAGAATCATCCTTATGGGGGCTGAGGCCCACGTGAACACCTGTTACAAGCATTTCTATTACTTTGTGACAGAGCTCAACCTCATAGATCGCAAAGAGCTGGAGCCTTTGGTAAGTGAGGGGCCTGGGAGAAAGCTCTGGGACAGTTTACTCCTCCCTTCACTGAGCCTTTCCCACACTTGCTACAGCAGGTTTCCTCTAGGAATAAGGTCTGTGGTTGAACACAGGCAACGTAAGGGGATGAACTCTTGCCTCTGTCCGTAGACCCATTCCACCTGCTGCACTATTTGTGGATACTCAGTAGGCTCAGCAGAAAGATAGGAAAAAAATACAAGGTGGAAAATACTGTCATTTAAAAATAGAAATTGATTTGTCTCTGTATATTTTATGTTTAATTTTATTCTTTCTCTTTTTGCTGGTTAGTAACAGCATGGTACTTAGAACAATCACGTGAATGCATGTAAAAGGAGCAGTGGTCTGTATAAAGGTGATTTTTTTAAAAAAAAAGTCCTTAAGTGAGTGTTTGTGGAGGTACTGAGTGTGTTAGATCCAGAGCACACTCTGGATCTAACTGAGACAGATGAGGTGAGACAAAGGTTCAGACAATTAACATTGTAACAAAATCAGACACTTCATTTTTGACTGAAATAAATCAAAACTAAATTCCTTGTTTCCGAAAGTAGCACTTCAGAAATGGATATGCTTCTGCTGTTGCTTGCAAATGCAAATAAATTAAAAGTGTAGGCAAAGAGGGAAAAGTGAGGCAGAATTCCAAAAGCAGTTTGTACACAAACCCTTACTGAGGCATTTGTCCAACCTTAAAAGGCATCAGGGCAACATTTCTCCAAGGGTCAGAGTTTGGAAAATATTGTGTCATATAGATCATTGATGGAGTGCTGGAACCACTGGCATTTTTTTTCTCCCACAGAATCACCAAATGCCTGATGTTGGCAGGCACCTGTGGACATCATGTACTCCAAATCCGTGCTCAGAGCATTGCCACCTAGAGAGGGCTGCCCAGGACATGCTGAGTTCTCAGTTGTTCCATGTAAAGGCACACTGCAAGGAGGCATAGAGCATAGTTGGTGTGAAACACCTCTGAAGGTGGTCCAGGCAAAGGGACGTTTGCCTGCATTTCTGCAGGAACTGGAGCGCTTGCAGGCGTGGTTCATATCTGTGCTTATGCTGATTGAGTAAACCCTGTAAAGTGAGAGAAAATGGATGGTCCTGTTTTCAGCAGTCCACACACAGTCGGCTGAAGGGCACTGCCTATAATATGTACTGATCACTTGCGAGGTATCTCTGGCTTCTTTCCAGATAGGGGAATTTCATATGCCATCTAATTGTGTCTTAAAGGACAGAAGGAGGCCCTGCAAGAGAGAACTTCCCTGCCATACTAGTGATCCTAGGTTAGCTGTAGCTGTCACATGCTGAGGATGTGTCACAGCAAGATGCAGGGCAGGATATCTCAGAGGTAGGAAGAGTGATGATCTTGAGGCTGTGAAGATCCTTGCTTACTTTGGAATGCAGAGAGCACAAACTGATTTAATGCTAAGCAGGCAAACGAAGGGTTTGGGCCAGAGTGGTGCAGAGGATGGCCCTAGTCCAGCAGCAGAACAATCTGGGAACGTGTTCCGAGTGATGTGTGCCTTCCCCTTGATTCCAGCATTTCTTCTCTGCACCAAATTACCGTTAGGATCATCATGTGATGCAGTATTATTAGCTTGGCTGGAGTGCAGGGTCTCCCAGAAAAATGTTTCACCTGCACTGGGGAGGTACCACGTCAGCAAACTGACAATGCTCCACCTGCTTCCATCTTCCTGTCATTGGCTTAAGTGGGTGTCAGCAGTGTGGAAATGCAGAAAACGTATGTCTGTGTTTTTGTCTTCTGCTGGGCAGAGAGAAGGGAAGAATTTGCCAAACAAAAGCAGACTTTAGAAATAATCTTGAATTTTAATGCAGTAGTTGAAGACAACCTGTGCCCTGCAAGGTTCACCATGGCAGGAAATGAGCCCACATTATCTCCCAAATTAGAAAATGGGCCCAGAGTTGATTAAATAAACAGACTGTCACATGCTTTAATAAACAGGGAGGAAACTGATAAATCAGCATAACTTCAAGAAGGGAGAGTAATTGGGGAAGCAGACAGTAGATGAATAGTAACATTAGCTTACTTTTAGCAGCAAACTGGATCTTCGGCATGTACAGAAAGAATGAGAAGGCCAAATATTCCTGGGTTCCATAACTTGGTGTTCACTGATACTTCAGGAATTCCACTGGTGAAACCAGCAGCGTGGAAGCACCACACCATCATGCTTGCTAGCTCTATAGACTTCATGTGAAAAAGCAGGCTGTTAGCCTGGGCTCTGAACTACAGATCCGGACCCATGTTCCCCTGCTCTCCCAGAGCAGATTGGCTGTCTTCAGAATTGCTTGGCAGAACACCTCATCTCTGTGATGTTGCTGTTAAGGAATACACCACATAAGTCCTGTGTTTAAGTTTAGCTAATGAATGTAAATTATAGCCTGTTGAATAAAAAAGATCACCTCATCTCTGTGAGGTGTTCTCAATATGTGCAGTCAGTGTACTCCATCCCTACCGGCCAAAGGCCCAGCTCTTTGTGCTTAAGATATAACTTGAGACCTGGTCACTCGTCAGCCTGTTTTGCTTGTGAGGAATACAAGCTGTTGTATGCAAGGCAGCATAATCCCTTCAAATTATTATTTTTTTTGTTCTTTAGCTCACCACAGCATAAATCATGATAAATTTTATTTTCTCTCAAAGAGAGGGGAGTAGCTTTTCTGATACCCAGCAGCTGAGCAGCTAAGCAATCATGTAAAAGCCTTCTAATTCAGAGGCCTTAGAGATTTGTGACTGAATCACAGTGCAAAGGATTTTGTTGGGTAACAGCAAGCTGGCGATGCTGCAAAGTCTGCTCCCAACTTCTCACCGTTGATCTCTGTGTATTGCAGTATCAGAGAATCATAGAATCATAGAATGGCCTAGGCTGGAAGGGACCTTAGAGATCATTTTAGTCCAGCCTCCCTGTTGCCAGGGATGCCGCCATATCTTGTTTTGATTCCTAAATCTGCATTTTAATTTGCCTGATATTTCGCTGTGCCTTGTGTTTTTCAGTTAAGTAAAAAAAGCCACTACAAAACCAACAAAACTCTAAAAATGTGGTCAGATTTCAGTGTTGAATTTGGAGGCTTGGGCATGTTCCTTGAAGGAGCAACGTTCCCAAGATGCTTTTTTATTTTTTTTTGAACTTGCAGGAGATGTGAATCTAGCTCTTTTTTCTCACTTCTGAGCATTTCTCATTAACATGACCTTAAATCATGTTTCTAATGAGGAGAGATAGGGGAAAAAAACCCTTGATCTGCCTTGCAAATCTCTGCCGGGTCATAAAACGCCTGAGAATTGTATATTCTCTTAGTAAGAAGTTTCTCTCCCTCAAGGCATGTGGTTTTTTATGGCTGTGTTTTTTATTTCTTTTTCCGCCCTCTGGTGGTGTGCTTTGGTAAAAGAGTCTCCATTCAGGCAAGGCTTGTGACTGCTGCCAACTAGCCTGCAGGATTTCTTCTTAAAAGGGGAAAAAAAAAAATAAGTAAAATAAGCATTCTCTGTTCCCAGTCCAGTTTTTCCACTTTAGCACGGTATGGTGATAGTATCTATCAGGACTTCTTTTACATGGTACAAATGATGAGAATTTCTGAAGAAATGGATCTGATCACCAGCGGAACAAGAAGCCATCAGTAGCTAGGTAAATGCCATCCTTTCCACCTCCTCCATTTCCTGCAAGAAATTAAGGGGCAAATGAAAACTGAAATCCTTAACATCACTGTGGAACAGGATTCTCAACTTTGATGCCCACATAAAGCAGAGTCATAAGATGCCCTGCAGTGTCAGAGTTTCTGAGTAAATAATTTCTGGCTTGCGTGTTTTCAGTGACTACTTTTATCACATCAGCTGCTTTGCTTGCGCTGAACCCAAGCAAACACTGCTAGGAACAGAAGGACAGAAGGACTTTCCTACTGATGATTTTCTGTGTGTCATCAAATCATCACAGGTTTTGGACTCATACTTTTTGGTGCTCTGGATTAATGATTCTGCTGTCTCATGCTTTGACACAATTACCTCTCTTTTGTGGGTATGTAAGTACAGGTGATGTTGCTGTTAAGGAATACACCACATAAGTCCTGTGTTTAAGTTTAGCTAATGAATGTAAATTATAGCCTGTTGAATAAAAAAGGCTTCTCCAAATTAGTCCACATTTCACAATTTGCAGTAAACAACACCAGATTTGTACTTCAAAGAGATTATTAATACAAAATAGAAAGAGTTATAGTTTAACGATCCAGAATAAAGGCAGAACAAGAAACTTTTGAAGCTTTTTCCTCTAAATGTCTTTGATTTTGCAAAACAGTAAAAGAGCAGACACTAAAAACCAAATAGCATCCATCTGATACTTTTGCACTTTTTAATTTTAAGTGGTTTGGTTTAGGTTTTTTGGGGGGGTTGTCTGTTTGTTTGCTTTTGTTTTTTACAACCAACTCCTAGGAGACTGCTACAATACAAAAGTCACGACATGCAACTGTGGTTGCAAAACCAAAACCACAGAAACAGTGACAGAGGCATTTAAGGTCAGGTGTGATATTAAAAAAGGAATTTGAAGCTATTTGCTTTCTAATGGATATATAAGTGTTTCTTCTAGTCTAGTTACAAGCTTTCTGCACGTGGACTTGCCCGGTGTTTAACTTCTGAGCTAAATCAGAGCCAGAAGTGGTACCGAGTAACCACAATGTGATACCTTTCTCTGCCTTTTCTAGTAACTTGTAGCCAGTGTGAATCAGAGTAGCAGTTCATGCCCCATCAAGGAAAACCCTGGAGAATACCTTCTAGGGAGTTTAATCAAATAGGCTTTTCCATCTGTAATTTGTGTAGGTCTATTTACACTAATTCTTACACCAGTTAGCAGGAGGGGTCCTTGCTGACTGATTGTGCTCTCTGTGGCAGTAACATTAACAGCAAGCAGAGATGGGAAAAAGCTTTTTCACCACCATTGCAAAAAGTATGATGGGAACTCCTCTACCATGATTCTTACAAGGCATTTGGAAATACTTTAACATTTGTTATTACTGTGGAGAGATCTGCTATTCAGTAGAAACAGCAAGGCCAGTTTTTCTAATTGCCAAAAGAAAAATTCTAGTGCCACATGAACTTGGCAGTTTTCTAAAAAAAATAATTAAAAAAAAGATTTATTTCTTGTAGTATATGCAACAAAACTAGTTCATAGTAGAGAATTAGCATGTCTCTTCTGCAAAACTTTGTTCTAGAGATAGTGTTACAGTTTGCTTATTCACTCTGCATGACCTCAGTGCCAAAAGCACCACATTTAAAGTCCATTTAATAGGGTAAGATACACTAAAACTAACCACAGAGAGACTTTGATTGCTGCAGCAGGTGAAAGTACCTCATTGGAGTTACATGCCTTTGTCGGTCATCCACATGCCTGTTGTGTGTATCTGCCTGGACCTTGCCCTGCTGACAGGTGCACTTTGCAGTGTCGTTTTCTGATCCTGTTACCACTTGCAGGCAGTTGATAAAATGCCTTTGTCACCACTGATAAGGGATTACAGTTGCAGACAGGCGTATTATCTGTGTCCTGCAAACATCACCGTACAAATTCAGGAGTATTCAACTAGGATTGTTATCAGGCCATCCTTGGCTTCAAAATAACTACCTTGAAGCCCAGGAGATTTTAGGAGAGATTAGTTTTAGTCCTGTGCATCGTAATAATTGAGACTCATTCAAGTGGAAGATATTATGAACCCTTACAGAGGAAATACCCAAATGATCAATATGCTCATTGGTTAGCAGTTACTGGTCTGACAGTACAGAGAGACGGGCAACTAAAGAAGCAGAGGAATTTTTTTTTTTAGTGATGTTGGAGAGAATAATTTCTAAATGAAAATTCAAACTAAAAATGCCAGAAGAAAAGAGTTTTGCAAATTTCTTAGCTGTTGCAAATCTGGGTTCAGCCTTCCTATCCTAATCAATTAGCTGGAACTGGTATGAGGGTGGGACACGAGCACTGAGCTAAAAAAAGGCAGCCCTGGTTTTAGTGAAGGTGGTTATTGTTTTTATTATTTCTTTAAATTACTTTTTCTGGCGTTTTAATAAAATACTATTATTTATACTATTTACTATACACTATACTATTTGCTCACATCTCTTCATCCACTTGTGCTTTTGCACAAGACAAACTGCAGACCCCTTGTTTCCATCGAATACTAGTACAAAGGTTATGTCTATCATTTTTATACCTTATGTTTTACCATCTCCATATCTGACTCACACAAGCATAGAAAAACCATGGTCTTAGAAGAACACGATTCCTTGTTGAGTAACTCTTTCTTCTTGTAACTCATTCAGATTTGATCAGCACCTCCCCATAGGGAGGTTTGATTCAGCCACCCATGCATGCTCAGAGATGTCAGATTTTTTTCCCCTTCTTTTCCTGCTTTACTTGAAGGTGAACTGAAGAACAGAAATTAAAATAGTTAGATGTATAGATTTATGTTCTGAATGTATCTGAAATGAATTTTAGAGCAGTAGGGAA